CCCTTGTGGCTCAGCTGATAAAGAATCCACCTGCAATGTGGGAAACCTGGGTTTGATTCCTGGGTTAGGAAAATTCCCTGGAGAGGGGAAAGGCTATGCACTCCAGTATTCTGGCCTGGAAAATTCCATGGACTGCATAGGCTATTGTGTCACAAAGAGTTGGACATGACTGAGCGACTTTCACTTCTCTTCATAATTTATTTTACTATCCCCTTACTGATAGACATTTAACTTTTATCCATTTCTTTGCTTTTTAAATAATATGGCAAGGAATCTCTCTATATGTTACTTCATAGTTGTGTGTGTGTGTTACTATATAATTGATTCCTAGAAGTAGGCATGCTCAGTCCAGTATTCCTTAGGATCTGAGGCTTGAAGTCATGCTAGTTTCACCAGATTGGAATCTCTGATGGAATCTCTATGGATAAGTGTACCTTCTCTGTATATTGATAGAGAATCGTGATGTCTTAATATCTGAAATTGGCTGATTTGTTGTTGTTCAGTCACTCAGTTGTGTCCGACTCTCTACAACCCCATGGAATGCAGCACACAGGCTTCCCAGTCCTTCACCATCTGCCAGAGTTTGCTCAAACTCATGTCCATTGAGTCCATGATGCCAGCCATGAGATCCAACAATCTCATCCTCTGTCATCCCCTTCTCTTCCTGCCTTCAGTCTTTCTCAACATCAGGGTCTTTTCCAGTGAGTCAGCTCTTCCCATCAGGTGGCCAAAGTATTGGAGCTTCAGTGTCAGCATCAGTCTAATTAGCTGATGAGCTTTAATTCTTCCTAGCCTAACATATCATACCCTGATTGTTGTCTCTCACATGTTCAGGCAGTCCTGAGTGGTATGTTCAAAGAATAGCCAGGAGGTCAGCTTGTTAGAATGAACCATGAGAAGGGGATAGTAGAGGATTAGTTCAGAGATGGGGTATTATGAGCTGTTTTAAGGACTTTGAAGGGTCTTCTCACCATTATCAAATATCTAAAAAGTAGGCGACACTCACTGTCTCCCTTCCACTGCACTGTGGCTTTCCTTCAATTACTTCATGGGGACCTCTAGCAGAATTCTTCTGCTACATCAATACTTGCCAAAGCAGTGGCCTTTTCTCCTTCTTTGCCCACTCTGGCTCACACTGTCGACTGTATATAATTTAGTGTAAATAGAAATACCTTTGATAATTGTAAAATGTATATTCATCACTGCCATCAGCACAGAATTTCATTTGCTTTTTCTCTCCCAATTATCCTCCTGCTTTATGTGCTCTTTCCTTTTCCTTTTAGCTTTTGTGCCAGATTATTGGCCTTCCTTCAGTGTGTAACCTAATGTTTCATTCTTGGTTCTCCTCTTAGGTGATCGTTGAAAAGTTTCACAAGTTCATTCCCTGATCTAAATGAGCTAATAGAAAACCCTGCTCTTGATTAGATCTGAAAAACTTAAAAGCAATGTGCTTGGCTTTTAAAAATATTAAACTTATGGAAGTAGATTGCTTAAGGCATTTAAATATTTGATAAAGGACATTTTATTTTATACAACTACAAATTAATATTAATTAGCATTTCCTTTTGATTGAAATGACTTACTTGCTTTAGCAGGTTAATTGATGTTCAGTTCAGTTCAGTCACTCAGTTATGTCCAACTCGTTGCGATCCCATGAACCACAACATGCCAGGCCTCCCTGTCCATCACCAACTCCCGGAGTTTACCCAAACCCATGTCCATTGAGTCGGTGATGCCATCTAACCATCTCATCCTCTGTTGTCCCCTTCTCCTCCTGCCCTCAATCTTTCCCAGCATCAGAGTCTTTTCGATTGAGTCAGCTCTTCGCATGAGACGGCCAAAGTATTGGAGTTTCAGCTTCAAAATCAGTCCTTCCAATGAACCCAGGACTGATTTCCTTGGGATTGGACTAGTTGGATCTACTTGCAGTCCAAGGGACTCTCAAGAGTCTTCTCCAATACCACAGTTCAAAAGCATCAATTCTTCGGTGCTCAGCTTTCTTTATAGTCCAACTCTCACATCCATACATGACCACTGGAAAAACCATAGCCTTGACTAGACGGACCTTTGTTGGCAAAGTAATGTCTCTGCTTTTTAATATGCTATCTAGGTTGGTCGTAACTTTCCTTCCAAGGAGTAAGTGTCTTTCAATTTCATGGCTGCAGTCACCATCTGCTGTGATTTTGGAGCCTAAAAAAAGTAAAGCCAGCCACTGTTTCCACTGTTTCCTCATCTATTTGCCATGAAGTGATGGGACTGGATGCCATGATTTTAGTTTTCTGAATGTTGAGCTTTAAGCCAACTTCTTCACTCTCCTCTTTCACTTTCATCAAGAGACTCTTTAGTTCTTCTTCACTTTCTGCCATAAGGGTGGTGTCATCTGCATATCTGAGGTTATTGATATTTCTCCCAGCAATCTTGATTCCAGCTTGTGCTTCTTCCAGTCCAGCATTTCTCATGATGTACTTTGCATATAAGTGAAATAAGCAGGGTGACAATATACAGCCTTGACATACTCCTTTTCCTATTTGGAACCAGTCTGTTGTTCCATGTCCAGTTCTAACTGTAGCTTCTTGATCTGCATACAGGTTTCTCAAGAGGCAGGTCAGGTAGTCTAGTATTTCTATCTCTTTCAGAATTTTCCACAGTTTATTGTGATCCACACAGCCAAAGGCTTTGGCATAGTCAATAAAGCAGAAATAGATGTTTTTCTGGAACTCTCTTGCTTTTTCAATGATCCAGTGAATGTTGGCAATTTTATCTCTGGTTCCTCTACCTTTTGTAAAACGAGCTTGAACATCTGGAAGTTCTTGGTTCACGTATTGCTGAAGCCTGGCTTGGAGAATTTTGAGCATTACTTTACTAGCATGTGAGATGAGTGCAATTGTGCAGTAGTTTGAGCATTCTTTGGCATTGCCTTTCTTAGGGATTGGAATTGACCTTTTCCAGTCCTGTGGCCACTGCTGAGTTTTCCAAATTTGCTGACATATTGAGTGCAGCCCTTTCACAGCATCATCTTTTAGGATTTGGAATAGCTCAGTTAGAATTCCATCACCTCCACTATCTTTGTTCATAGTGATGCTTCCTAAGGCCAACTTGACTTCACATTCCAGGATGTCTGTCTCTAGGTGACCATCATGATTATCTGGGTCGTGAAGATCTTTTTTGTACAATTCTTCTGTGTATTCTTGCCACCTCTTATTAATATTTTCTGCTTCTATTAGTACATATGATTACAAGGAATTCTAAACTGAAGTATTTTCTGTTTCAGCAGATTTTAAATTATATTGAAGCTAATATATATTTATTATTGTATGTAATATATTATTTCTAATACCTTGGAATTGATAACATATAGTTGGTTCATTTTAGTCAAATATCTTATAGGGGAGAATAATTCACTCCTTGATAACATCAGATAATAATTTTCTCTTGGTCATGATTGCTATTTTACATTACAGGAAAACACCATTACCTTAATTCTAAATAAGAATTTTAAAAAGTAATATTGTTGTCTGAATTTTAATTTGAGTCTTTGTTTCTTTGGGTCTTCTCTGCCTTTTCCTGCTTCTCTTAGGTATGCAGCATTTGTCATTATATGAAAATTTACATCTTAGTATAAAATTTTTATGAGAAATAATCATCTGTAACATTAAGTTGCTTTATTTTACTCAAACTATTAGATATACTGTAATTAAAAATTTTTTTTCTTAATATGTATCTTTGTGAAGTATTTTTACAATATACTCAGAATTCATGTTATTACACTATCTGAATTTTTAAAAGATGATACAGAGTATTAAGTCTTCTTGTGAAATCATGGTAATATTACTTGATTCTTCCTTTTATTTCTCCATTGTGGATATAAACAGACTATCTGCCCTTTCTGTAAATCACAGTGTATAATAAAAAGAATATATCTTGGATTAAATGTTTTAAATGCCTTCAGGAAAAATTAATTACATATATTCCTGATTTTAATTTGTATTCATAATTATGTTTCTTTTAAGATGATCTTTTAATTTATTATCATATAACATTTTTGATAGAAAAACTCTATTTCATCATTTAATTGAAGAAGATATTTTGTGCGGGCTCTCAAAGAAATCAGAATGAGGGTAAATTCTCTAACATCTAGTTCAATGACTCCCATCTGCACGATATTCACAGAAGGCATTCTTCTTACTAGTACTTACTCTAAACCTTAAATGATATTTCCAGTTTCTGGAAATGCTTATTTCATATAGCAGGGTAGTAACTACAGAGAACTTATATAGTCGAATATTCAATCTACATAAAATTTTTTATATTTTTAATATCTTCCATGAAATTTTTATAGACTTCCTTAGCATCTCTTTCCAGTGATGACTTATTTAAACAACCTTCTCAGTTTTTTCTTTATAGTCACTGAGCTATAGTCTAATCTAAGGCTCCTGTGACATTTTTTAGAAGAAATCATTGATTTTAAGTTTATTTGTGTAAAAAGGAGGCTACTTGTCACAATCTTATAATACCAGAAAAAATATTAATACTTTATTGATATTAATAAGTTATACCTACTTCATTAGTGAATCTAAGCTAGATATTTCAATGGTATGAAAATTACATTCTGTTAATATGTAACCAGCTTAACCAAGCATTCAAAAGTCAAAGACTTTGAAACTGAATTGAAAACTTTTTTTTTTCCAATGATCCTACCCCCTTCCTTGTTATTTTTCAATTGAAAAAACAACATTCAATGCCCAACATATGGCTTCTAGTATTTTGTTAAATTTTGAAATGGAACATAATTGTCATTCAAAAATATGTCTCTTTGGTATAAGTTCAAATAATAATGAATTTTACACTTACACATATTTTTTCCTCAGAAAATTGAGCTAAGTCTTATAATTAGGAATATTCAGAAATAAAAATATGCAGTTATTTAGAAGAAAATTGCAACTCTAGAGTTTGGAAGAGTGTATGATAAAGTGATCCTGGAAATGTTTTTTTTCTTCCAGGTGGCTTAGAATCATTGAAAAATCTTCAGAAGCTAGTCGTGGACCATAATCAGTTAATTAGTACAACAGGTCTTTGTGATACACCTACCCTTATATACCTGGATTGTTCATATAATCATCTTACTGAAGTTGAGGGCATTGAAAACTGTGGATTGCTGCAAATACTGAAGTTACAGGGAAATTATCTAAGTGAGGTAATTGATTTGAATTAATTTGATTAACACAAAATTTTTCTTTAGCTGCAAGTATCAACCACACATTTTAAAAGCAGTTTAATTTTTATTCTTTTTGCTTATCAACTGAATTTGATTTCCATTTTAAACTATTATGTACTTTTCACTATTTAAAAACTGTTCAACATTACTACAATATCTTATAAACAAATTAATTCATTAGTTTTTTATAATACTAAAATATAGATCATAATCTTTTCAGTTATGATTCAGTGTATAAGTGGGACCAAATTTATCTGCAATTGTAATTAAGATTTGTCATGAGGACTTTTAATTTAAAATATGCAAATTATGAAAATAATTATTGGAATTTTATTTATAATAACTGATTTATGATATGCTGTTTATCAGAGTATATCTGTTAGTTTTGGTAGGCTTTATATTTTTTAATTTGGTTAAATGACAAAAGTGTTTTGCTTAATATAAGCTAATAAGTCAAATTTAAATATAGCTTCCATTCTTGGGGAATCACGTTCTTCTCAGAGAATTGCACTTGAATGATAACAGCATTTCAACTGTGGAAACATTTTCTTCATACTGGCTGCCTTTACTGCAAATCCTGACTATCTCTCAAAACAGGTACAAGTATAATTTGCTTTATTAAGCTTAAAGGCAGTGAATGATTAATGTAAATGTGTGATCTTCATAACAAATAGAAAAGCTGTTAGGTTTTTCCAATAATTCAAGGAATGTACATTATAATAACTTGGTGCATAAATTATAAATCTAACTTCATGTATTGACATATCCTCAAATTTTAGTAGGATTTTAATTGTACTGATCTTACTCATTTTGTTCCTTCTCAAAAATGTACTTATGGAAATTTCTCAGGGCAGATTTGTTTATATTTGTAAAGATACCCTCCTTGGAAAATATAGGAGGTAGTTAATTTAATTCAGAAGGATGTCTCATTCTCTCAAATGGTACTTATTAAGTCCTGGAAGAACGATTTTTAATCTGCTCTCAACTTGCATGTCTTTTTGAAACTGTTAAGACAGATTTAAATTTGATTTCCCTAAGGATATAAAGTAACACTTAAAAAAATACCTTAATATTAAATCGAGATGTGTACCTGCCATAGAAGATCCATTTAAAACCACCAAACATCTGGATCTTTGCAGAGAATAGCTGTCTAAAACTGAAACTGAAACAGGAGTACAAGATGTATATGTCTTCCTCTGTTTAATATTTCATTGAGGCCTATTAGCTCTAATATGATTAATTTGGTCATCAAAGGCACAAGAAGTAAGGGATAGGAGCTATCTTTTACAAGAAGTTGCTTCTGTGAGTGGTATAATTCTTGCAAAACAAGTGAACAAAGACAACTCATTGTTTCATATATATTTATATTTATATTTATATATATCACCTCCCAAACAATTTTCTTTCAATTTCTGTCACTGTAGTGCTCATCTGTTGAGTCCTAAATGATTTGACTTCTACCCATTAAACTGTTCCACAATTTGACATGTCAAAAACTGAATTTGTATTTTAAAATTCCTTCTAGTTGTTCTAATCATTTCTAAAATCTGAAAGTTGATTTGCCTTTAAAAAATATTTGTTCCTGAGTAGCACTGTCAGATAATGCTATTTAAGTAATTTAGACCATCACAAACTTATTGGGTCTTTTCATAATATTTTTCAGGTAAGAAATACAATTTCAGTAGATATACTCAGTTATGCTTTGGACATATGCAGTAAATCACTCAGTTACTGACATATCTAACATTTTATAGAACTAGATTCCATGCCACATTGATGAGCATAATAATCTTAAAGAATTTAGAAAATACTTAAAACATCAACATTTTTGAGAAATAATTCCATTATTTCTTTGGACAATTTAAATCATCAAAGGAATATTTTGCTTTTAAAAATTGAAGTTAGCACTAGCTAATAGACTTTTGCCTTATCAATATGATGTATCTTATTTCTCATATCAATTATAGATGACCAGGAATTTTATAAAATGAACTATTTAAAAAATTTTAGAGTTGATAACAATAACTGGGATACTTAAACCAAATAATCCTTATTTATAATTTTGTTTGCAGCAATTAGCTTCATAACATTTGGATATTCAGGTGGTGTTTGCTGTATTGGGTAATACACAACTGAGTAACATATGTCCTTACCCTCAAAATCTCTTAGAAATAAAATAACAATCTGGTGCACTTAGCTATATAAAAAAGTGGTAAAATTATATAACATGCTATTTTGCATTTTTAAACAATATCATTTATATTTGAAAGGTTTTTTTTAGTGGGTTTATGAAAGCTTTTTGCATAAATAACCTACCATTTCTGAAAGGATAAGTGAATAAGTCCTGAGGGCACCAGGGAAATATGATTGATAGAAATAAACATATAAATTAGTGAAATTATTTCCTAAAATCAGTGAAAAAATAATCTTCATACTAGGTATTTTTCACCAGAAGCTATTACCATTAACTGTAGAAATTACCCATTTTATGTTAAGCTTTTACCATGTGTGTTGACTTTTTCAGAGCTGCTTTAGGTTTGGTAAAACTCAGGGTCAACAGATCTGGCTGGGTTTGAATTCTGAATTAACAACTTACCTGTCAGTTGACAGTGAGCCAATCTTTTCTCACTACCTGATACTCAGTTTTTTCACATATAAGAGGTGTGGCAAAACCTACCTTACCTATTTTACAGGATATTGATGATTATTCAAAACAATAATGTATGTCAGTGCATGTTGCAAACCTGAGGAGAATTTTATAAATGTGATATTTGGATTTGTGGTTGGCATGTCTTTTAAAATGTACATTTTTAAAAAAAATTTTTGATAAATATTTTCATCACAAGGAAGAAATTATGTGTCCATATGCTTTTTTCCAACAAATCAAATACATATAAAGAATGATGTTTAGTGCTTATTGTTTGAAATACTTGTTTCATCCTAACTTCTGTTTTGAATTTTCATTAGGACATGTGACTGTTTTAAGTTTTTCTCAGTGGAGTTCTAACTGGAAGACTCTCCAGCTTCATAAGTCTTTCCTCTTCCAGTGAGACTCTTAAGTAGGAGCAGAAAGTGGAAACTATTACCCATTGGCTGTTCATTGTACAAATCTTTTGCTTTTTGTCGTCTTTGAAATTTATATCTTTTTTATGCCCAGGGCTAATGTGACAAGGTCAAATGGTATTAGGTTTTCACTAATGTCCTTTGTCTTTCTGGTTTGAATTTTCTTGGAAAAAAATATACACAGAATGTCAGTAGAAGGAAAGTTATAGAGGTTAAAAAAAATGATTCTACTATTAGGTTTCTGCCATCCTAATGAATAGTCATAAAGGTGAATGAATAGCCAGTTTTCTTGATTAAAATTTCCAAAAAAAAAGAATATGATTCTAAAAGCATGATTCTCTGAAAAGATAAAATTCTGATATTATAAAAAAATATCTGGTTAAACCAAATATTTATCTGAAGAAATACTTTATTTTTGTGAAAAGAATTTTATTTTCAATTTTAAAACTTTTTGGTTATTTTTAGTTAATGTCTCTTATAATCTATATGTTACCAAATGTTGCCACATATAATTTATGGTTAAAAACATGAGATATTCTGAAAAAAGAGAAAAACTCAGTATCTATTAATCTTTCGAAATCCTTTTAGCATAAGGGCAAAGATTTAGTATTAGAAATATACTAAAGGTAAAAAAAAGTAAGAATTTTCTTTTAATAAATGCATTTATTAGAACTGTATTTTCTTTTGAAGAACTTAAATTTCTTAATGATCTAAATATAATGATATAATCATCTAGAATGCCTAAGTAGGAAATGTCATAAAATTAGTACTCAAGTCCATTGATTATGTATTGGAAAAGTTTTACATTTCTTTCTTTCTTTTTTAGAATCCATGTGACGTTTCAGTAAATTTTGCTATTAAGTAATGTATATGCAAATAATGAAGTGTATATACAAATGTAATGACCAATATTTGATCACTTTTTCTTTTATTACCTTGGATATTTTCCCCTGAAATTAGTGTTGCATAGGTAGTATAAATAGTATTATTGTACTTAGGATTGAATATAATCAGAGAGATCTTTCAGTCTCCTTATTCAGTCTATTTTAGCATCAGTAGCATCTTTTGTCTCTCTTCTAATGTAGAACAGGATAATGCAAGAGAGGAGTTAACGTCAGCCCAAGAGTTGGCTTTATGACATGAGGCTTCCAGTCGCAATATTATCCTGTAAACTTCTGATCTTAGAATAATAGGACTTGGTGTTTTGTGGTTTTTTTGCTGTTGTTGTTTTTACCGTGGCAAGATGCTGGTAGGAATAAAGATGAAAAATCTCTGCCAGGACAACTTGGGGGACAGTATCAACACCAAGAAAGTAAAAGTAGAAGTTAATTCATAATTTTTTTCTGCTTTGTACCAGAAGTACTCCTTTAGTAAAAGCTTATTATGAACATATATGAATCTTTAGCATTTATAGTGGGTATTAATTCAGAGGACTTTTTTATTTGTGATGAGAATATATTTTATACAAAGAAATTTTCATCTTATTTAAAGATTTAGATGAACTAGCTTAATTTTTATTGCCAAGTAGCTAGGGTAAAGTGATGCTATGTAACAAAGAAAGTGTAATCTTGTCTTAGTTTGAAATGCAAATCAAACTAAAATTAATTTTCCCTTCATAGCTTTTTGTGAAAAAAAGCTATTCACATACTAATATTGTGAATATTTTCAGTATCACTTATGTTCCTTGTTTGAATGTGGGGTATTAATGACAGTTGTATCTTAAAAAATGATAGAAACTTTTAAAAACCAGAGAAAAGTTTACTATTATTAGAATTTGAACATGCTTATATTAATGAGTATCAATTTTAATATTAGTATATGTTTGCTAAATTTAAGTATTTTATCAATAGAAAATATTTTCTATTATTGTGTTCCTTAAATGCATATTTCCAATTTAAAAATAACCCCAGTGTAACTTTTATACTTACAGGACTTATAATACTTTGAATCTAGTAAATGAAACTTTTTAAAATTAGAAACAACATTATTGACTCTAATTAAAGTTATATTGTTAATAAGTAAAAATAAATAATTTTATGTTTTTGACTCTTAATGGTATGTTATATGTTTGAGCCAGAAAAAAATACATAGAAGTTATGAATTCTTTGTAAAGTTAGCCATCTACAAAGACAAAACAAAACAATAACAACAGAAAACCCATTTATTCTTATTTTAATACCAAGTACACATGAAGCTTTCTGATATTTATGATTGATATTAGCAATTCCATGATCATTTCTGTTTAGAAATAAATATAAATCCTCTATTATAGAATAAATATTTAGAATCTTTAACTACTGTATTTTTAAAAAGTACTTTTAGTTAATGTTCAAATTGTATTCTGTTGTGAAAATGCAACTGTTATGTATTTCTTCCAGAGTTATAATTTATAATATTATGTTATTGTGTTAAATAAATATATTATTGTATAGCTACATCAATAATATTAAAAATGCTCCAATTTAAATTTTATTTAAATTCCATTTTGGTTTTCAGCTTGACAAAAATCGTACCACTTTTTCATTTTGTTTCTTTGGAAAAACTGGATGTCAGCGACAATTGTCTTTCTGGTAAGTTTATAATACATAGTTGTTTTTCAGATAATAGGCTTTTGAGTTTCTGTTCCAAATATGGTAAGGAAATGTTCTGGGGAGATGTATATAACATATCCATACAAAATGCTGTAGAGGAGGAGAATTTTCTCTTTTCTCAAACTGGGCCTGAGAATTAAACTGATGTAAGTCAGATAAACAGAAGAAAAAAATACAAGTTTTAATTTTTTTTCACATGTACGTGAGAGTTCTCACAAGAAAATTAAGACCCCAAGAAGCAGTTAAGGTTGGACTTATATAGTGAGTTGGACAAAGAGTAATAAATGATGAAAATGAGAGGAGGCAGAGGGGCTTGGGCGCTAAGATAGTTAATTGGATGGAAAAGTGACTAGAAAATAAAGGCTAGGTTAACAAGCTTGTTTGCATACATATCTCTTAGTGTTAACTTCCCATCCTTAAGACAAGAATGTCTATTTGCTTCTGTTATAGGAAAATACCTTTCACATGGGAATTTAATCTCTCGCTTTTAAGAAAAAGAAGGAAGATTAGAGGGCTCTTGCATTTTCTCTTTTTTTTAAAGTGCACTTAACTTAAAATAGTGAAAATGCCAGAATGGCTTATTAGGGTGCCATGTATTCTAAACTCCTTTGAATGTGTGGTGAAATAATTTAATTAACATTTTCTTTCTACTTTTAAACTCATATTCCTTCCATATCTTTCTGGTAAACCTTGGAAATGTGAGAATTATATTCTTATTTAAAATTCATATATCCTATACCTGTGAAAAAATTTAGTCTAAGGAAGATAAGTAAACACATTTGTGTAACTTGTTGACACCTAACCAGTACAGAGGAGACATCCATCAAAAGTTTTTTAATTTAAAGAATGATGTGCTGATTTGGCTAAACAATCCCTCACCCTCAAACTTCCCCATCCCCAATTTTAGTCAGTCCCCTTGTAGAGATAATCACAGTTCTAAATTTGTCACCATAGGTTAAATTTGACTTTCCTACATCTTTATATTAATGGAATCAAACAGTATGTTCTTTGTTGACTCTAGATTTTTGCCTGGCATTCTTGTGATATTCCACCACATCAGTTGTTCAGTTGTTTGTATCAGCAATGTGTTTTTGTTTGTTTTTTTTCTGATATGTGCTCCATTGCATGAATACATCACAGTTTGTCCATTTTCCTGTTGATGGATATTTTGTTTGCTGTTTGGGGTCAGTTCAGTTCAGTTGTTTTGTGGTGTTAGACTCTGCAACCCCATGGACTGCAGCACTCCAGACTTCCCTGTCCATCACCAACTCCCAATGTTTGCTCAGACTCCTGTCCATCCAGTCAGTGATGCCTTCCAACCATCTCATCCTCTGTCGTCCCCTTCTCCTGCCTTCACTCTTTCCCAGCATCAGGGCTTTTCTCAAGAGTCAGGTCTTCTCATCTGGTGGCCAAAGTACTGGAACTTCAACTTCAGTGTCAGTCCTTCCAATGAATATTCAGGACTGATTTCTGTTAGAACTGACTGGTTGGATCTCCTTGCAGTCCAAGGGACTCTCAAGAGTCCTCTCCAACACCACAGTTCAAAAGCATCAATTCTTCNTTCCTGAGACTGGTAGTTCATCAGTCTGTTTCCCATCAGATGTCAGATGTGTTTCCCGCCTTGCTTTTCTTGATTAATTTATCTGGCTCTTTATCATTTTATTGACCTTTTCAAAGAGCCAATTTTTATTTTCATTGACTTTCTGTTTTCTATTATTTCTTCCTTTCTACTTCAATTTCCTTTACTTGATTCTTCAGGTGGATGCTAAGATCATTGATTTCAAATTTCCTTTTTCCTAATTTAGCTATTTAACGTTAAAATTTCTCTTCAAGCACTGCTTTGCTGCAACTCGTGATTTTTGATGAGTTACCATCTCATTATCACTCAATTCAAGATGTTTTCTAAATTCCTTTGTGATTTCTTCATTGAAACAATGGTTTAAAACATTATTTAATTTTTAAGTATTTCCCAAAATCTAATTGTTGATTTCTAATTTAATTGTTTTGTGGTCAGATGTTATATTCTGTATCATTTCAGTCCATTTAAATGTACTGAAAACTGTTCCGGAGGCCAACACGTAGTCTGCTTTGATGAATGCTCATGTGGACTTGGGAAGAATGAATTCTTGTATCAGGTGTGATGTTCTGAAGGGCTAGGGCAGACCTAGACAGTTGCCAGTTTGTCCCAGTCTCCTACGTGTTTACTGATTTTCAGCTTACTTGATCCCTCAGTTACTGAGGATGGTGCTGAATCTTCAGCTACAATTGTGTATCTGTCTATCCCCCTTTGCTTTCTGTAAGCTCATGTTTTATGTATCCTGAGACCCATAAGTCAGGTGCACACATATATATGGCTGTCATGTCTTTTTTAAATGTCCGTCATCACCCCAATGTGATTACTTCAGCTTACTTGTAAATGTATTTAAATACTATTTTCTATCTTTCAATATTATGTTCAAAGCCTGCTTCTTAAAGGCAGCATTATTTTAACCCAGTCTGACAAAATCTGCACTTCGTTTAGTTTGATTTTACTAATTTAATTAATTACTCATACATTTGGGTTTAAGACCAACTTCTTGCGACAAGTTTTACAGCTTTCCTATGTGCTGTCATTACTTTTTTTTCAATTAATTAATTTGTTTTAATTGGAAGATAGTAACTTTACAATATTGTGATTGTTTTTGGCACACATCAGTATGAATCGGCCATAGGTATACATGTGTCCCCTCCATTCTGAAAAAAGTTTTAGCCGCTCAGTCCTGTCCGACTCTTTGTGATCCCGTGGACTGCAGCCCGCCAGGCTCCTCTGTCCATGGGATTCTCCAGGCAAGAGTCCTGGAGTGGGTTGCCATTCCCTTCTACAGGGGATCTTCCCAACCCAGGGATTGAACCTAGGTCTGCTGCATTGCTGTCAGTTTCTTTACCATCTGAACCACCAAGGAAGCCCCTGTTAGTGCATGCTTAACTTTATAAGAAACTAATGAAACTGTTTTCCCAAATAGTTGTAACATTTTACTTCCCTACATTAGAGTTCCAATCACTCCATTCTATAGGGTTTTGGTATATCATTGTGTTATCTTATTATGCTTTTACTTTGCACTTCTCTGATGGATAATGATATTGAGCATCTTTACATACCTTTATTGATGGTTTCTGTATATTGTTTTGTGTCTTTTCATTACCATTTAAAAAGTTTGGCTATTTGCTTTTATTGATTTGAGTAAATTCTTTATGTACTCTGGATGAAACTCTTTGTCATATATATGTTTTGGGGGTGTTGTCTCCCAGTCTCTCTTTTACCTATTAATTTTGTTAAGTGTATCTTTTAGTTCAGTTCAGTTCAGTCGCTCAGTCATGTCCAACTCTTTGCGACCCCGCGAATCGCAGCACGCCAGGCCTCCCTGTCCGTCACCAACTCCCAAGCTTTGCTCAGACTCATGTCCATCCAGTCAGTGATGCCTTCCAACCATCTCATCCTCTGTTGTCCCCTTCTCCTCCTGCCCCCAATCCCTCCCAGCATCAGGGTCTTTNTCACGATAGGCAGAAGTTTAAATTTTGGTTTACTATTTTATTTTTAATAATTTTTTCTCTCTGTGTCCTTTGTAATATTTTTCTACATCCAGAATGAGATGATTTTCTATGCTTTTTAACTTTTTTATAAAGGTCTTGTACTTTAAGTTTTTACTTTTAGATATATGACCTACTTCAAATTAATTTTTACAAATGGTGTGGAGTCAAAGATGAGTTGTTGTTGAACAACTAAACAACAGCTAGTTTTTCCAGAAACATTTGTTGAACAAACTGTTTTCATCATTGATTGACTTTGGTGTGTTTGTCAAAAAATTGACTTCCATTTGGTCTACCTTGATCTACCTTTTAACTGATTTTCTCTTAATGATAGTTCATGTTTTCCTGTTTCTTTTTATTGTCTGATACTTTGGAACTGTATGCTGAACATTGTTCATACTACAGTTTACTGAGTCCGGCTATTGTTATCTTTCTTTTAACGTGTAGTAAATGTGATTCTAGCAGGCAGTTAAGGTATTAATGGATAATTATGTTTCTATCAACCTTAATTTCATTCTCTCCTAGGGAGAGAAAATCATTTTAATTTTCGACTCTCAATACATTCCTCTACCCCTGGGCATTGTCTTCACTCCTAATACATGGTCTTTCTGGATTTTAGCTGAGTCTGAGATGCTATATTCGGTTAAGTCTTATCTGACTGGGCTGAAATTCCAGTGTCTTTCACTGCTGCATGAACTATTGTGTCATCACTCAGCTCTTAGCCTAATAGCAGGTTATCTTTGCTAGGTTTTTCAGAATGTTGCCCTGTCTAGCGCTTGGCCAAGCAGCTGTGGTAAACCCTTACATATACTTTTTCCCCAGTTCTCTTCCCACCAACATATACACACTCAGCTTCTTCTCAGTACTTTTCACCATAAATTCCAGCCTCATGTCTAAACTTTGCCTCATCACTCAGCAAAACAGTCTCTTTGCTTGATTTCCACTTTCTTGCTCTAAAGTGGTTACATACTTTTAGGCAAAAAAAAACCCCAAAATTGTGATAGTCAGCTCACCATGTGTGTTTGCTTTTTCTCCCAAGTCGGGCTTAAAAACAGGTGCTTCCTGTTTATTGTCCAGTTTTATGATTGTTTTCTGTGGGAGAGCAATTCCAGTATAAATTGCTCTTATGTACCCTGGATTGCTGGATTGACCTACTGTTTTTACTTTTGAAAGTATAAATGTAATTCTGTTTAGGCAAATGTTCAATTTTACCACTATCCCATTACTTTTGACTTTACTTTTTTATATGTTGTGTTAACGATCTGGCAATGCTTGCTCTAAGCCATTTACATACTCATTTAATTCTCACCCTATGAGATAGATATAAACCTGAATTATCAGGCAATTGTATGATTTGCATAAATTCACATAGCTGCTAAATGGTAGAAATATGTATTGTGATAGCAGAGTCTGTTCGTAATATGGTCTTTTAAAAACATATTCTGCAGAATAAATAATTTTTGTGCTTTTCTTTAACAGTCAAACAAAGTGGTCATTGATGTATAACTATTTTTCTTTATATGTAATGCCTCATAATAATTTTTTATTGTTTATTTTCTATAGATCTTACAAGTGCCATAAAGTGGTTTGATGCATGCTTTTCTCTCCATGAATTGTCTCTTACTGGAAATCCACTTCTTCAAGAAGTAAACTGGAGGTAAATAAATATCATTGCACCTATGTATGTACTTTATTATAATTGCAGAGAACGCAATGTGATGAAAATTGTTCTGTGTATATTATTAATAATTTCCTGGGAAAAGTGAATAAAGAATAATTTAAAAGTTATTCTAAATAGAACAATTTTATAAAAGTTGTTTAAAAAATACCTTCTGCCTAAAATAATCTTTTGTATGTGTAAGAACTAATGCAAATTTGCAATGATAATTTTAATCTATACCACTGACTATATGACAATTTTAGTTTGATGTTGACTTAGGTTTGTGTTTATAGAAAAGACATTTTTGGGGAATTACTTTTTGAGTCATCTACATCCCATAGCTTGCCATTTAAAATTATTTCCTTTCTGGTAGTAATTTGATTTTGTTTTATCTTCTGAAAAGAGAAAGTTGGTGTCTGTTCAAGTATGTATTATAAGCATGTGTGAATTCAGGCCTCTATTTGGAATACTGCAGTTAAGTACCTAGATGTAAATGAAAAAAAAAATACTTTGTGATTTTTTTTAATGAATTTTCTTTTTTAAAAAAGTTCCGTAATCTGAAATTCTCAAATTACGCTACCATCATTTTCCCTAAATTAGCCAACATCTTTTTGGTAATCAGGATTTTGGAAATAATTTACATATAATAAAATTTACCAGTTTTTTTATGAATGTGAATATTGTATAGAAATCATCACAATCATTTTTATCACTGTGAAAAACTACCTTATTCCCTTGGTGGTTAGTCCCCTCTTCAAGTATTTTTTAACCCTCTTCCAATACTCTAAAAATGTCTCTCTCTAATTTACTGGTCTTTTAAGAGCTCATCCCATAAGTTGTGATGCTGTTGCATGTTGCTGAGGATCAGTAGCCTGAGATGATAGTGCTTTTTCTTCTTTTTGACTTGTACAGGGCCTCCACCTCTTTAGGATCCAGGCATCTTTTCTGGATCTTGGCTTCCTTAGATGCCTGCTTTCCTTTGACTCCAAATCACCAGAGATGGTGCATTGAGCATAGTACCTGCACCTACTGGCTACCTAGCAAACTCTGAGGAAAGCTTGCTGATTATCTTCCTGCTCCACCCACCCCAAAAGCAGAAAACAACAAAATCAATCATGTGCTAATTAGTTACTATAAGGATTGGTGGTGATTTAGTCGCTAAGTCATATCCTACTCTTGCGACCCCATGGCTGTAGCCTGCCAGGCTCCTCTGTCCATAGCATTTTCCAGGCAAGAGTACTGGAGTGGGTTGACATTTCCTTCTCCAATTACAAGGATTAGTTGTATATAAATAGGTTTGTAATGAGAGTAAGTAGGTTATTCAAAAGCATGTATAATCATTGTAGGATTGATTTAAGAACTTCAAAATACCCAAAGTAGAATTTCTGTAATATCTAGTGGGGTTTTAATGACTATTTGCAAGCCATCACTGTTAAATTCACACACATTAGATTAATCTGGAAAACCATGTTATTCTTGGTTATGATAGGACTCCTGTTATGGTTTGCAACAAGTGATGTAAATCTCTGCCTGAGTGTTAGTTTGTAAAATAAATACTAATATTAACCTACCTAAAACTTGTTGAGAATCTGTGAAATACTGAGTAAGGGCCCAAAATAAAATATTGCTATCTTTTTATTTTAAAAAAAAGTGTCTTTCCACTGTCTTATGGCTTTCACTGTTTCTAAGAAGTCTGTGGACATTCTTGTCTTCACTCCTCTTTCTCTGGGTACTTTTAAGATTTTATCAGTGGTTTTTAGCAATTTGATTATAACATGTTTTGATGTGGTTTTAGATATATTTACTCTCCTTAGAATTTTTTCCTTGTTTATTTGCTTAGCATTTTTCTAATTGCTGTAGATTTGTTTACCATGTTGTGTTAGTTTCAGATTCAGAATAGCAACATGATTCAGTTATTTGTGTGTGTGTATTCTGTTCAGAATTTTTCTATTATAGGTTATTATAAGATATTGAATATAGTTCCCTATGTTATATAGTAGGTCCTTATTGTTTATTTTATATATAGTAGAATATATATCTGTTAATTTTGTTGTTATTCAGTCACTAAGTCATGTCTGACTTTTTTGCAACCTCATGAACTATAGCCTGCCAGGCTCCTCTGTCAATGGGATTTCCCAGGCAAGAATACTGGAGTGGGTTGCCATTTCCTTCTCCAGGGGATCTTCCCGACCCAGGGCTCAAACCTGTGTCTCTTTCATCTCCTGCATTGGCGGGCAGATTCTTTACCACTGAGCCACCAGGGTATCCCTCTTCCCTGCCTTTATTCTTTGGTAACCATAAGCCTGTCTTCTAAGTCCGTGAGTCTATTTCTGTATTGTAAATATGTGCATTTGTGTCACTCTTTTGATTCTACATATAAATGATATAATATGATATTTGTCTTTGTCTGACACACCTCACTTAACATGATAATTTTTTTTTCATTTATTTTTATTAGTTGGAGGCTAATTACTTTACAATATTGTAGTGGTTTTTGTCATACATTGACATGAATCAGCCATGGAGTTACATGTATTCCCCATCCCGATCCCCCCTCCCACCTCCTTCTCCACCCGATCCCTCTGGGTCTCTCCAGCTTAGTCCATCTGTGTTGCTGCAACTCTGCTTAGAATTTATTGAACCTCTTGGATATAGTGGATTTATAGTCTCCATAAAATTGTGAAGAATTTTGGCCATTTTTAAGTATTTTTTTCTGTTTCCTCTATCTTCTCCTATGAAAACTCCAGCTTCACTAATACTAGACCAGTTGATATATCCTTGAAGTCACTATTGCTTTGTTCTTATATTTATTGTTTTTGTTTTCTGCCTCTATTTCAGTCTTACTAGTTATTGCATATATAACTATTACTAGTTATTTGTGGCTTCAAATCCTCTGATATTTTCTTCTTGTGTAACTGCTCTGCAGTTAATCCCACCTAAACTGTTTTTCAGTTCTTATTAGATGTTATGATTTTCATTTCTACAAGTTTTCTTTATTTTTTTAACATTTACAGTTTCTCTCTTAATCATGTTCATATATTTCTGAATCATCTTGAACATATGGATTATATTTATAATAGCTGTCTTAACATCCTTATATGTTAATTTCATCATCTCCCTCATTTTGAGGTCTATTTTTATTAATTTTTTTTTCTGATTCTGATTTTCCTACTTCTTGCATGCCCAGACAATTTTGGTTATATTCTGGACATTTAAATTTTTCTACTTGTTGATTCCTTAATTTTCATCTTTTCCTTTACATAATATATGTTGATATTTTGCTTCTGACATGAACCGTCTGTTTAATATGTTACTTGGAATTAGTGAGATGATTTCAAAACTTCCTTTTAAGTTCTGTTAGAGAAATCTCAAAGAAATCTTTATTTATACTAGTACTAATTTAGCCCAACTACTGTGACTCCAACTTTCTTAGTATTCTGCCTAATGTCTCTTCTATGTATCCTTTTGACTTTGGCTGATGAGAATTATTCTTATCCTCCTGTGGGTTCCTGTAATATTTGCCATTTGCTTCCCACTTGTTATTTCTCTTGGCTCTAAGTGGTTTTTCTCTCACATATCCTTGCTCATTTACCAGTTCTAGGTGAATTATATCCTAGTCTACTGAAAAACTTTGCATATGCAATTTGGAATTTTCTAGGACTGATGATGTTTATAGCCTGAACTCCTGTCTCTTTTTATGTCCAGCAGCATGCATTTGTTAAATGATTTAACATGAATTATTATAAATTTGACATTTGTATCATATCAGGACATGGATTTATCAAGGCAAAACAAGCCAAAGTGGACTGGGCTTGTAGCCTAATTTAGGAAGATGGATTTGGCAATTTGCTAAGTGTAGGGAAAGAAAAACATTTACTAAAATTCAGATAGGAAAATCTATTTCAAAAATCCTAATTTTGAATCAAGTTAGCAAGTCTTATCAGTTTGATCAGATAGTGAAATACATTTATGAACAAAATACAGACAGGGAGAAATGAATAACTGAAAAAAAGGTTGTGTACATCCAATCCCAGGGTGGAAGCAGTTGACTTTTTGCCATGATTTGGTTCCCTTGTGATGTATGGCCACAGCCAAAAAGGCCCTTGTTTTTCTGAGTATTTCAGAGGAATATAAGATATCTTACCAAAAAACCAAGGATCTGATTATGTTTAAAATCCCTGTACCTGACTTAAGGCACTTGTAGAACAAGATAAGAATCTAGGGAGTAGTCACTGTTCTCTCCCTTGTCTGAGATCCCTGCAAACCTATGACATTCTCTTTCTAGATGTATTGGGTTCTTAAATTTGTTCATTGACCTTTAGTTAAGAAAATAGCAGCTTTTTACACCAAGTCAAAGACCTGTATGATTTGCTGTTTACTGATAACTTGATTATCACAGAAGAATTATTATCTTCTTGCTAGAAAATCTATTTTTCTTTCTTTTTGCTTTAAAGCTCAGTTTCCACATAAATTTCTAATGTTACACTGTTTGATAGGCAAACCTGGTATGTTCCACATGTTTTAGAATAGAACCTGTCAACCTCTGGCTTAGAAACATCTGTTTCAAAGTACAATTTAAGTTGTGTAGCATGGAGGAAAGAGTGTAACCCAGTGCAGTGGTTCTTAAAGCTGTGTGCCCCTTCATCATCACCTGGGAGCCTGTTAGATGTGCAAAATCTTACACTCTACCCAGATCCACCAAACCAGAGAGTAGCACATGATTCCCAGTAATCTTTGTCAAGCCTTTTGGGTGATTCAAGGTGCACTGAAGTTTGGAAATCATTGTGTTTTTAAACAAGGACATCTTCCTGCCCCATGCTTTGTGATCCTGGAAAAGTAACTTAGCTTTTCTATGTCTGTGAATCTTCACTGGTAAAATAAGGATAATAATTGTACCTATTCTTATGGCATAACCACTAGATTTGAATGGGATAATACACATATTCTGTTGACAATAATCCCTGGAATGTGGTAAGCGCACAAAAATCTGTTATTTA